ATGCGTGACAGATTACGGAGTTAATCTGTGATGTGTTTGGGAGCCTATTAACAGCTTGACCTTAAATCAACAAATCCTCCTCACGACGTTGCCACGATATCCTTTCCTACTGCTTTCTTGTCGAATGAGTGCTTTTTTTCCGCTTCTATTTCTTACCTCATGGATTACGTTAACGGGTTTCTCCAAAGCTTTCTTAAATTATATTTTTTTAGAATGCATGCATGTCACTTAGGCGTAAAGCACATGAGTGCATTGAGTTCGTTAAAAGGAAGTTTATTTCGTTGTTGACGTGGAAGACGAAAGGACAGTCTCATGATATGGCTAAGAAAGAGGATGTCGCAAAATTAGGGCCTTCCGTTGAGCTGAAAGTTTTTCTACGATACCTTTGGATTAGTTACTCTATTTCTGTATTAAGGTTGGTTTTCTGTGAATGACCAATTCTATTGGTTCCTTCAAACACGAAATGAAAGTTGGTTTAGGCAAATATCGCACAGAAATCTTCGACATCGAAAGTGAGACAGCTAGAAAAGAACGTTACGTACTGTTATATGTCGTCACAAAAACAAGTGTTCAGGCAAAATCTCAGTAAAGTGAACACCTTTTTTGATTTTGGGCTGAAAACATTAAACAGTATTGCTTTAACCCTTATGGATTTGTAGTTACTATATGAAATGTTTAGAAGGAAACCGTGTTTACGCCTTGATTTTGACAGCTTATTCAAAAAGGTAAATAAATAAGTAATGCTGTAAGAATATTGATTAATTCCGTATTATTTCTTCTTTCAATATACATATGAAAGGTGAATAAATAAATAGGTAAAGTTGTAAATAATTTGATTATTTCCATACTATTATCATTGTAATATACGCATTATGATATGTACCTTCGCTAATCAAGTTTACCTGTCTGAATATCAAAGTGATGCTGAATCAACATAAAGTTAATCCACAATCGGTTGACAAACTTACAGAGCTAAGAAACGGCTAAATAAATTGAAGCAAGAGAAGTTATAATAGCCTATGCCCGTAAAAGGAAAATAGCTCACTTGTTTCTAGTGAAGCGCAATCTTTATACTCAGGGGGAAATTTAAAGTTGGTTTCTTTGATTTCATCGGCTTTAGTAGTTTCAATTTTAGAAACGATGTAACTCGAGGAAGGAAAAGAAAGTTTTACTAAATGAAAGCGTCTGGAGAAAAGCAAGAAGGAACCAGACACGTTTGGCGTACGACAGAAAATAAAAAGACTTCCGGGAAAGTGTTTCCCTCATATTCACTTGAATGCTGTGATAGAATTAAAAATAGTCATGTAAATTTGACATCCACTATAAATTAAAAACCAAACGTAACTTTGAGAGTGAAATTACATGTGCCACCTATAGTATACTACCAAAGTATGACACTGCGCCTTCTGAATGGCTTCCCATCTATAAATAAGTGTTCTAATTACCCCCACCCCCATACCCCTCCTCCCCGCCTCCGAATAGAAAGTTTACACTATATCATACGGATGCATACGTATGCATACGAGCTCAATTCAATTTCTCTTTTCGTAGCGCGTAATGGTACAAGTTTGGAGACAAGTTTCGTGCCTGGGTGTCGTGAATCTGCTTTGGTATAAATTATTTCTTGGCCCAAATCATTCATCCTGAAAGTTTACAAAGGAGGAAAACGTCTAGTCTTAATTGCGTTGGACGACAGATTTTAAGATGGCAATGAGATGTTGATTAAGATTTCTTACAAGGCAAGTTCTTATTTCAGTCGACTTCTTAATGCAACAGCCGATGGATGAGCGAGTAAGCCGAGCACTCATAATACGTTTTCTTTTCGACCGCGAACGTCACTAGAACTTCAGGAAAACGGTTTTTTT